CGGCCCCCCACCCGCTCGGCTTGGGGGCGCGGAGTCGGCGCCGAGGTCACGGCCTGGCGGAAGCTGCTGGCCTTTGCCCGAGGCCGCGCCCGGGCCGGCAGAGGTCGCAGCGGGCAGGGCCATAGCTGCCGCAAAGCCGGGCAACAACGGGATCCAGGCTCGAGACGTGCGGGCTGGCAGGGAAACCAAGGCCAGGGAGGGGAGGGGCCTCGCCGCTACGAGACCTGGGGCCAAGCAGGGCCAAAACCCAAAGAGCTGGATCCTGGCTTTGTGGGGATGGGGGACGGGTATCCACTGACGGCGGGTTTCCAGGGCAGAGACCCGCGAGCGTCCAGCCTCCGCCGCCTGCCCGCCGGCCTGACTAACGCCGCTGGCTCTAATTAGCCCGCTTTGAAGATGAAACAGCCCCCGTGGCAACTCGCCTCTCCCCACCCCATCCATTCGGGAGGTGGGGGAGTGGCGGGGTCTGGGGTGGGGTAGAGAGAGCTGGAGAGGAGGCTGTCTGGGCTGCTGTGCCCAGGTTATGGAGAGGGGCATGGAGACAGATCCACCCGGGGAGACAGGTCCAGCCGGAAGACCCAGCCCGGCTCCCCTGGGCCCTGCTCTTGGCTCCACCGCTGACTCACAGGCGGCAGCCCCAAATCACTTCCCTCTCCATGCCTCAGTTTCCCCATCTATGAAATGGGAGTGGTGACTCCAGCCTCAGAGGCTGGGAGTGGGACGGCCTGGCTAATTACACTAAGATGAAAGAGGCCAGGATGAGCGCAGCCTGGGAGGTGCAGCAGCGTGGCTGTAACAAGGGGCCTGTCTGGTTTCCCTGTCTGAGGCCCAGAGGGTGCTGATAACTGCAGATCCCGGCCTCACTACTCACGGGGAGGGAGGAACGATTATAAACCCCTTTTACAGTTGAGGAGACAGGCTTCAAAGGGTCAGGAAGCCGGACGCTGGCTCCGGCCCGCTCAGCCTGACCCGTGGCCTCTGCCAACCTCCAGCCTTTCTGAGCCTCGGCTCCTTGGGGATGAGGGTGTGCAGTGAGGGAACCCATGCGTGGGGGCTCCTGCCAAGTTCCTGATGTCGTGGTGGGTGCACCCATATTGAGTCAGACTCACCGCCACCCTGAGAGCTGGGTACCATTCCCAGATGAGGAAGGGTGGCCCAGAGGGGTGCAGTCACTTGCCCAAAGTTGCAGAGCTCCTAAAAGGTGGAGCCTGGACTTTGGCAAATGGCCCTCGCTGCCCTTGGCTTGGCCCCAAGCGAGCTATCCTCAGCCATCTTGGGTGTCCCGATTCCTAGATGGGCCCTGCCCACCTGCCTGTCCAGGTGTCTGCTCCCCTATGGGAGGGTGGTGCCAGCTCTGAGAGTTGAGCTCAGCCCATCAGCACGGAGCACATGAATGTTCTGTGAATCCCCAGTGAGCAGGCCTGCCCTCGAGAGTGACCTCCCAGCCATGAGGGCTGAGGCGTGGGCCACAGTCAGGTGGCTAAGCAGGGAACTCCCTACTCGGGGCCCACACCTCATTCCTTCTCTTCCTGCTGGGTTTCCGTACTCCCCAGTGCGGACCAGCTCCGGGGAGATGCTAGACATAAAGCTTGGGAAAGAGGTCAGTTTCCTACAGGGTCATGCGCCTCAGTTTTCTCGTCTGTAAAATGGGGTGATACTTCTAAACCATCCTCACGGTACTGGGCATAGTAATAAAGGGATACTTAAAAAAGAATGACTCAACATGGTGAATGTAATTAACATTACTGAATTGTACACATAAAAATGGTTGAAATGGCAAATGCTATACATATTTTACTAAAGAAATTTTTTGTTAAATTTACTGAAACAACACACATGAGAAAAGAACAAGTCACTAGGCAAATTCACAGAGACACAAAGTAGATTAATGGTTGCCAGGGGCTGGGGGAGGGGGACATGGGGAACAACTGCTAATGGGTATGGGGTTTCTTTTGGGGGTGATGAAAATGTTCTGGAATTAAGATAGTGGTGATGGTTGCATAACTGTGAATATACTAAAAACCACTGAATTCTATACTTTAAAAGGGTGAATTTTCTGGTATGTGAATCATAGCTAAATAAAGCTGTTATTTTTAAATGGTGCTAAAAAAAAAAAAACAGAGTCCCTAGGATGGTTAGAATAAAAAAGTCAGATAATAGCAAATGTTGGCGAGGATGTAGAGGAATTGGAACTCTCCTTCACTGCTGTTGAGAAAGTAAAATGGTGCAGCTGCTTTGAAAAACAGTTCTTTAATGATTAAACATATGGTATGTTGTCATCGTTGTTAGGTGCCGTGGAGTCGGTTCCGACTCATAGCGACCCCATGTGCTACAGAAGGAAACACTGCCCAGTCCTGTGCCGTTCTCTCAGTCGTTGTTATGCCTGAGCCCATTGTGGCAGCCACTGTGTCAATCCATCTTGTGGAGGGTCTTCCTCTTTTTCACTGACCCGGTACTTTACCAAGCATGATGTCCTTCTCCAGGGACTGATCCCTCCTGACAACATGTCCAAAGTATCTAAGGACATAGTCTCGCCATCCTTGCTTCTAAGGAGCATTCTGATTGTATTTCTTCCAAGACAGATTTGTTTGTTCTTTTGGCAGTCCATGGTACATTCAATATTCTTCGTCAATACCACAATTCAAAGGCGTCAATTCTTCTTCGATCTTCCTTATTCATTGTCCAGCTTTTGCATGCATATGGTGTGACTGACAATACCATGGCTTGGGTCAGGCGCACCTTAGTCTTCAAGATGACATCTTTGCTTTTCAACACTTTAAAGAGGTCTTTTGCAGCAGATTTGCCCAGTGCAATGTGTCTTTTGATTTCCTGACTGCTGCTTCCATGGGTGTTGATTGTGGATCCAGGTAAAATTAAATCCTTGACAACTTCAATCTTTTCTCTGTTTAAACCACACAGTATCCCCTTGTTCTGTCCAAACAACTGCCTCTTGATCTATGTACAGGTTCCTCATGAGCCCAATTAAGTGTTCTGGAATTCCCATTCTTTGCAATGTTATCCATAATTTGTTACGATCCATACAGTCAAATGCCTTTGCATAGTCAATAAAACACAGGTAGACATCTCTCTGGTATTCTCTGCTTTCAGCCAGGATCCATCTGACATCAGCAATGATATCCCTGGTTCTACGTCCTCGTCTGAATCCGGCCTGAAAAATTTCTGGCAGTTCCCTGACGATATACTGCTGCAGCAGGTTTTGAATGCTCTTCAACAAAATTTTACTTGCATGTGATATTAATGATACTGTTTGATAATGTCCATATTCGGCTGGCTCACCTTTCTTCGGAATAGCCATAAATATGGATCTCTGGTCTGTTGGCCAGGTAGCTGTCTTCTAAATTTCTTGGCATAGAGGAGTGAGACCTTCCAGCGCTGCATCCGTTTGTTGAAACATCTCAGTTGATATTCTGTTAATTCCTGGAGCCTTGTTTTTTGCGAATGCCTTCAGAGCAGCTTGGACTTCTTCTTTCAGTACCATCAGTTGCTGATCATATGTTACCTCTTGAAATGGCTGAATGTCAACCAATTCTTTTTGGTATGACTCCGTGTATTCCTTCCATCTTCTTTTGATGCTTCCTGCGTCATTTCATATTTTCCCCATGGAATCCTTCACTATTGCAACTCGAGGCTTCAATTTTTTCTTCAGTTCTTTCAGCTTGAGAAACGCTGAGCGTGTTCTTCTCTTTTGGTTTTCTATCTCCAGGTCTTTGCACATGCCATTATAATACTTCACTTTGTCTTCTCGAGCTGCCCTTTGAAATACTCTGTTCAGTTCTTTTACTTCATCATTTCTTCCTTTTGCTTTAGCTGCTCGATGTTCAAGAGCAAGTTTCAGAGTCTCTTCTGACATCCATTTTGGTGTTCTCTTTCCTTTCTTTTTAATGACCTCTTGCTTTCTTCGTGTATGATGTCCTTGATGTCATTCCACAACTCATCTGGTCTTTGGTCATTAGTGTTCAACGCGTCAAATCTATTCTTGAGA